CTCCGGCTCGGGCTCCGGGGCGGCTCGGGGGTGGTGGTGGTGACGAGAGGGGGGGCTCCGTATTTAAAGGAGGGGGGGTCCGGTGGCTTGGAGGAAGGGGCAAGCGGCGGCGGCGGTGGCAGTGTCTGCCTCGGACACGGCGGCGGCGCGGGAGGAAGGCGGCGGCGGCGGCTTGGGCCGGCCTGGCCTGGCTGGGCCTCGACCCAGTCTGGTGCGGGCGTGCGCGGGATTTTTTTTTATTATTCCGCCGACAGAAAAACTCCTATAAAATAAAATAAAAATCTAAAAAATGCCAAAACAAATTGTCACCGTCTAAATGAAATATTTAGAACGAGGTGAACATTTTCTTGGCCCTAAATGCAATTTGTTTGAAAACGTGCAATTTTTCTAGGGCAAATAAATTCCAGATAAAAATCAAACTAATGATTTTAACATTTTTCCTCCAATATTTCAATTGTTTTGGAGAAGTCATATTATCTCCCCTCATTTATTTTTAATATGAAATATTTTTCCGGAGAGAAAAATAATTAAAATCAAAAATCTTCGTTCTCAGTATTTGATAAAAATCAAATATGAAAACCGAAAAATCCCCAACTCTCTCCGAGGGTCCTTGAGTTGCTTAGGATTTCGAGGATTTGCGGAATGAAGATGCAGTAAAATATGATATGCATGAATGACCTATGTATAACATTCCAAATTGAAAATTTGGATGTTACAATTTACTCTTGTTACTTGTTGCTCGTTGAAATTTACCGTATCACAAAACTACCTGTTATCTCTTATTTCAGTATTTGCAGAGAATACCTTCTTGAAAACTGCTTATCATTTCCTTCTGCTCCTCGTTGGGTTCGACACTCTTACTTATCGAAAGGACTATGATAGATCCCCTATACTTGTGGGTCATCGGCGATCCGTGAGAGGCGATCATGTTGGTTGTGATCGGCTGCTCGCCCACCACTGACTCCGCGAAAAAAAAAACGTTGTTATTGGGCCCAAAAGGAAACCAAGCTCTGGTTGGGCCGTCGAATTGCGTCGTTTTTTTTAACATGATGGCTCTATTTTTTGTGAACGTGTTGGCTCTATTTTTTTTTTGCACGTTTGGAATTACACATCAATTGACATTGTGTAGAAAATTTAGTTCTTTTTGTTCTATACAAATGCAAAATGACTAAATATCTAAGGGCTAAATTTATTTTTATCATGCAAAATGGCAACAAACTATTAAAAAATGGGTCATTTTGCATTTGTATAATGGCCACAAGCCCTCTATCTTTTTTTATCATGCAAAATGACCAAATTTTTAAATTTATTTTTATCATGCAAAATGGCCACAAGCCCTTCAAAAATTGTCTCTTTTTGTTTATAATATAGGGTGTATGACCACGGATTCCCACGCGTGCAATTAGCTTCTTTTTCTTCTTCTTTTCAAACCACCGTTTCCCACGCGTGTACACTCCCGATGCTGCGGTGGGTTTGACAAACGGGCTACTAACTTCACATTTGACCCCACTATTGCAAAGGCCAAATAACATGTAGCACTACGGCTATTTAAGCCACACTCTGCCTCTGCCATCTCGCACCCTCTTCCTCTGTCATCCCTCATCCATCGGCCCTTCTTGCTCTTCGACCCCTTCTCCTTCTGCACATCCCTCAGCCATGCAGTACAACGGACCAACCTACCGCTTCGCACCCACCGTGCCGGAGAGGCTCTACCCTACTGGCGTGTACGTTGATCGCACACTACGTGTGTGGGCGATATCAAGGCTGAGGACCGCAGGAAACTTCACCGAGTTCTTCCTCGCGTCCGGCTATCACCACCTCCCGAGGGGATCTCCAACGATGTTCCGCGTCGAGGAGGTCATCCAAAACCGGGTGGTGGTTGCTCTCCTTGCCCACTTCACCAACACATTTGACGCCTTCTACCTCCTCGGCCGGGTGTTTTGGTGTGGCTCCGAGTTCATCGCTTTCACCACCCACAACAGGTTCATGGAGTACACCAACATCTTCTCCACCACGACGCGCATGTATACTCTTCTGTACCCCATCGACAACGCCCCGGAGGAGCAGTGAAAAGGGCCCCTGAGGAGGAGCGAGGTGGAGAAGGCGGCGGCTAGGGTTCTAAACCCTCTATCTTTTTTTAGTCTATGTTATGTTAAGTTGTAATTGAACTATGTTGGAGTTGCTATGGGGTTGTTGGCTTAAGTTCTTCCTAGTTTGAACTATGTGATCGTGTTATGGGCTTGTTGGCCCTATCTACATATTGGGACTACATATTTATTGATTGTTTTCTTAGAGAGCTCGGCTGGTTAGTAGGGTTCCCTTGTTAGTAAACACCTAGTGAATGCAAGCAAGCTTTGTTAGTAGGGATGAACGAGTAGAGCTAATCAAGGGAGTGGTTCTTTTTTTTTACACAAACCACAAATATGTAGCCACCTAGCTAGAAGAGAGGAACCAGCGGCAGTGACCGTCGCTGCATCCGTGGCGGCTGGCGTGCAAGAAAGCTGCTCGCGTCAGTGCATTGTGGCGGACGCATCGGCGCATGCAGGCTCGGTCGGCGCATCGTGGGATCATGGCATCGGCGCATGCAGGCTCGATCGATGCATGCAGGCAGGCTTTGCTAGGTGCATGCATAGCAGGCTTCTGTCCTGGCGGCGCGCGCAGACGTTTAATGCAAGGGACGGCCCAACGAAACCACAGCCCAATGGTCGAACGAACGACACAATCCACTAGTCAGAGTTAACGGTCAAGCCTTTGACCCGACGGCAATGTCCATTGTGCCTAGTTTTGAGGGTTTCTGGCAAGGGAGTGGGAAAAATTGAGCAAAAGTTAAGAGCGCAGGGATGAATGAGTAGGCTAAGGAACCAGGGGCACACATGTGAAAATCCCATAATATTTTGGTATTTCTTTGTTTCAACTGCCCACACCACGCACGCAAACCGTCCGTCCCTACCCACTTCTCCTCGTTTGCTCTGCTCTGCTCTGCTTCGTTCCCAAGCGAAGCGACTCATCCTCCCCTTCGATCGATCGCTTCTCTCGTCGGCGACGCTGCAGGTGCGACCTCGAATTCCTTCCTCCCTCCCTTGCTGTCGTAGCCGCTGTTTTGTCTGCTCACATGATCCATCCATCCGACAGCGAGCGCCTCTGTTCCTCTGTGAATCTTTCCACTGACAGGAGAGAGCAAGAAGAAAATGGCCGACGCCGCAGACGGCGGCAACGACTGGGAGCTCCTGTCGCTCACCGCGTCCGCCTACGCCGCCGCTCCAGGCCCAATCTCGCCGCCGCCGCCGCTGCTGCTTCAGGTTGACCCGGCTGCCACGAGTGAACAGTCCCCACCGTCACCTCCTCCTCCTGCTGCAACCTTCATGTCCCAGCACTTCAATCTGCCGGCGGAGGAAGCGCCTGCCGGTCTTCTCAACGGTGGGCGCCAAGGGTTAGAATTCACCCCTGCCATGCCGCTGCTGGATCAAGGTCTCGGCATCCCCTGCCCAGAGAAGGACAGCTGCGCGAGCGAGACGGAAGCGCTGGGCCGTAGCCAGCCGGCATGTTCTTCAGATTCAGTTATCGTCTGGGACGGCACGGGACGCAAGATTAGTCCGTCAGCCACCTTGGATGAAGCGGGTTCAGATCGTACCCGCAGCGCATCTCCTCCGCACAACCATGTTTCTGCTGCTGCTGCTGCCGACACGGATGATGGCATTGCTGTCGGGTCCGCTGCGGCTTGCCTGCCTGCTCCGGCGGCCGCGCCGCCGAGGGCCCTTTGCGAAGCGTGGTGGAGGAAGACCTTCTCGTTTATGTGCGGCAACGCCACAGAGTCTCTTACCTTCCACTTCGTCTTCCTCGCCGACAAGCTTCAGCTCAGGCTTGAGTTAGGTGTCGACGGCAAGGTACTACTCTCTTCTCTGCAACTGCATTCCACAGAAATAAAAACTCTGTTTTCTGCAAGTGAAAGAATGCCATTTGAAGCGTGAATTGACGGTAATGGTCCTAATGGATCAGCAAATAAAGTGGCTAGTCATGTATGTATATCTGCTGCATCATACTGTTGTGCGCATATGCTTGCTCGTGAATAACATGGGAAATTACTTCTACTGTGCACAACCTTTGCTTGTTGCATTCGCAAAAAAAAAAAAGAGCTTGCTGTAAGTTGCAAATATTGTGCACACGTTTTGAATTGGGAAAACTTTGTTTTTGCCATTCTACCTTTTGCCCGTTTCACATATGCCACTCTAGAATTTGACATCTCACTTTTACCACTCTTAGCTTTTGACAATATATCACAAATGCCATTCTGTTACACATCTGTGAGTTGACCGTTTATTCTAGCGAGTTGACCAGAGAAAGACCTGTCAGTTTTTGCAAAAATGACATAACTTGCCCCTACTGACTTGTGGGGCCACTTTGCAAGTGACCCATACCCAAAACTGTACACACACCAATTAAAAAAAAACTCTACACACACAAACTACTCCAACCAGACCACACACCCGTTCCCATCCTCCCACGAGAATGGCCTAACCACATCCATGCCGTCGCGTCCAGATCTCACGATCTGCCGCCGCCGCGTATGGATCCCGGTGTCCGCCGCCGCATCCACGTCCCGTCTGGCCTCCCCTCCGCGGCGCCCTGCTCTGGCCTCACCGATGCATCCCACATCTGCGGTCTCCCCACCGCGGCGCCCTGCTCTGGCCTCGCCGGCGCTCCGCGCATCTCCAGCCTCCCCTCCACGGCGCCCTTCTTCAGCCTCCATCCCCGACGCGATCCACACCAGTGACCTCCCTCCCTCCTCCTTCAGCAGCTCCCATGACATGAATCAACCACACGAGATGGAGTTTGATCTGCTAGAAATAAATTTCTTTTTTATACTCCTGTTGGTTGGTTGGAGTTTGAGGCCTCCTTTGGTTTGGAGGAATTTTGTAGGATTTTCATAGGATAGGATTTCTATAGGAAAAATTCCTTCAGAGCTCTTTGGTTTGTAGGAATGAAATCCTATTCCTATGAAGGAATTCTTCCTATCCTCCACATTTCATAGGAAAACAAACATTAGCCTAGACTCAATGGAAAAAATCCTATGGTGTGAATCAAAGGGCATCTCTTTTTCTATTCCTATTTATAGGATTTGAGATGCATGTCATCTCATTTCCTATGACTTTCCTATTCCTATGATTTTCCAATCCTATGAACCAAAGGAGGCCTGATCTGTTTGTGGGTGTCTCAAATTCTGATAGTTAAGCAACTAGTTTAATAATTCCCATTAGATGCATACATGACAGCCGGGATAGGGGGCGCGAAAGGTGCCAGGATGATGCCTACTTACGAATCTGTCATAGTCGCCCCCTCCCCTCTTGAAATTGTCCCTGATAGAAGACATAGAAGCAATGCCATTGATGCTGAAACTATGGGCACTACTAGGTAAATATTCTTGTTTTGCTTCAAAAATCCATAATGGTCTAATTCTGCCTATTGTTAATCTGCATTTCAACACTTATTTTCATTCATTTTCAGTTCTAAAAATGGTGCTACAAACAAGAGAAAATGAGATGATAAAAGGGCAAAGTCTAGCCCAACTTCTGAAGCATCTAAGAAGACTTCTGCTACACATGATAGCCCAGCAAAGAACACAAGAAGCAAAAAATGTCCTCCGTCGAAGAGCACAAAAAGCAAAAAGAAGCCGCGAACCATGCCGTTTAACTGATGCAAGTACATCTTATTTTGTGAAGTACTATGCATATGTGAACTTGGCTGTGTAGCTGATGCAACTACATGCTCTTTTGTGGAGCAATATGCATATGTGAACCCTGTTGTGTAGCTGGTTTACTACATGTTATTACGGAGCACCATGCATATGTGAACCTTCCTCTGTAGCTAGACCTTACTACGTTCAGCTCCTGTGGAGCTTGCCTTTTGGGTGGTCCATATGCATTGCGAGCCTTGCTGTTTAGATTAGATGATGGATTTGTACTCTTATGAAGTAATTTGTTGATATTTTGAATTTCTTAAACTCTTTACTATGCTGCTGGTCATGATCTTATTATTGTGCTTACCTATGTCAAAATATTATGTAATAATCTGGCATATTAAATTTTCAAATAGGTCATGCCAAAATTTGCAACCCATCAGCTAATAATATAGTGAATTTAGACGTTAACAGGAATGGCAAAAGCAATATCTGGCAAAAACAGGAGTGGCAAAAGCAAAACAAATAACTGAGGGCAATATGGTCTTTTCCTTCCTCTGTTTGGTCAAAACGTCCATTGACCTAACAGAATGGCATTTGTGATATATTGTCAAAAACTAGGAGTGGCAAAAGGGAGATGTCAAATTCTAGAATGGCATATGTGAAGTGGGCAAAAACTAGAGTGGCAAAAACAAAGTTTTCCCTTTTGAATTCAGACCCTATAACATTAATGTTTGCCATGGTTAATAATTTCAGAAGATAAGCTGCGCAGAGAGTGAGACACTTGGTCAGGTGAAAGTCAGCATGCTTGGTGGAAGCCCTGTTGGTAAATAACTGCATAAATTGCATAATATGCTGATGATGATGAGAGCGACGAAAAAAACTAAGTATGCTAGCTAAGAAGTTGATGGTGATGACAACAAGAAGGGTGTGGCGAATCTTTCTATATTGCTACTTACCCTGATACTCCCTCCGTCCGGAAAAGGTTGTCCCTTAAATGGATGTATCTAGCACCAAGTTAGTGCTAAATACATCCATTTGAGGGACAAGCTTGGGACAAGTTTTTTCAGACGAAGTGAGTATGTAAGTGGATTAGTGCTTCATTAGTGGCCAGGCAATGTAATGAACATGCATGGGTGAGCACTATGCAAGTATCATCTGGCCTGGCCGGGTGGTTAATTCCATCTTGCTAGTACTCCTACTTCAGATTTCAATCTTCTAGGACTCTACAATTATGATATTAAGGTTAGCCTTATGTGATTTCTGAATATTGAAGTGGACGTTCCATTGGTGCCTCCAATTAGTAGATATAAGAAATTCCAGTATGGTCTAGTTTTGGAAACTCGGTTGGTTTGAAACTTATCAATTCGACTTTGAAATATTTATCTGAAACTCTATGGTGTCAATATGATATACTCAAATAGTGAACCATCTGTATTAATGTTGAAATGTCCATGAGTTGCAAAATATACATGACTGGTACTATTGTGCATCGCAAAATGAAAAATAGCCTAATCTCATTACAGTTTCCTGACCGCTCTTCAGATGCAAGTTCTAACTAGCTGTTTATATATCATCGTGCTCCTTCGGTCATTTCAGGAAGCCTGAAATCTCAGCATTCAGGCAATGATAAAGATCCTTGGATGCATGAAAACATGGGAAACTGTTAAACAAGCCCACTGGCCATGAGCCTAATGTCTGCACCTTGAGCTCTACTGCTAATCAGGTGATATCTGCAGCCAAAGAAATCAACTGCTAATCATGATTCAAAAAATCGGGTCAGGTAGTCAGAAATCCATACTGGGCCAAAGAAATCAGATGCCTATTATCACATTTTAAAAATGTATCAGATGGTCAGCATCTATGTTCAAAAACTAGCAAAAGAAAAAAAATCAGGTGCTTCCCGTGCACTTCAATTGCAGAGCACTCAACATTCAAATGTACAGGTCAGACAGCCAGTTCTCAAAAGGGCACCACATCCTCATATTTCAAACTTGGTTCAATTGGCGGAGCACAAGATGGAAGTGTGATAGCAGCCTTGGAATTGGGGGAAAGTTCCATCTGAGCTTTGAATCAGCTCATGTGGGGCAGTTCACACTTCACAGCTGACGCAGAAATGCAGGTATGGGTCGAATCAACAGCACACTCACGCCAACACGATCGATTTGGGGGCAGAAAAGTGCAGCGACAGACAATGGGAAATGGGGAACGAACCGCTAAGATTTAACAACAGAGGAGGAGACTGCAGACGAATTCAGGGGTAAAATGCTGAGATTTCCATTCCACGCTGGCAGTACATCGAAACAACAGACAGCAGCGGGATGACCACGAACACTGGACCGGCGCGTCCTAGCCGCCGAATCCGTAGAGGGTGCGTCCCTGGCGCTTGAGGGCGTAGACGACGTCCATGGCGGTGACGGTCTTGCGGCGGGCGTGCTCGGTGTAGGTGACGGCGTCGCGGATGACGTTCTCGAGGAAGATCTTGAGCACGCCGCGGGTCTCCTCGTAGATCAGTCCCGAGATGCGCTTCACGCCGCCCCTCCGAGCGAGACGACGGATGGCCGGCTTGGTGATGCCCTGGATGTTGTCGTGCAGCACCTTCCGGTGGCGCTTGGCGCCGCCCTTGCCGAGGCCCTTCCCTCCCTTGCCGCGGCCCGACATCTTCGCTTCTCTTGGCTGCTGTGTGGCTGCTGCTGCTGCTGCTGCTGCTTGTTGCGGCGGTGTGGTGTGGTCGCTGGTGGTGGTGGCGTGTGGGGGATTTATAGCTGCTAGGTTTCCGGGGAGGAGATGGGGCGATCCGCGTGATGCGAGGCGTGGGCCGTCGGATGGGATATGGACGGCTGGGAGTAGGGGAGAAGGGGTGGCGCGGATGGGTGACATGGCCGGGAGCGGGGGCGTGGCCGGGAGGAGGTGTGTTTTCTCAGGATGGCTGGGAGCAGCCTCGAACACGTTGACAGCTCTAGCCCCCGTTGGCCTTGGCAGCTTGGAAGTAAGGCCTTCTTTGTTTCATATGGTAAGAAAATCGTAGGAATAGAAAAGTCATAGAAAATGAGATGACATGTATCTCAAATTCTATGAGTAGGAATAGGAAAGGAGATGCCCTTTGATTCATATTATAGGATTTTTTCCATTGAGTCTAGACTAATGTTTATTTTCCTATGAAATGTGAAGGATAGGAAGAATTCCTCTATAGGAATAGGATTCCATTCCTACAAACCAAAGGGCTCTAAAGGAATTTTTTCTATATAAATCATATCCTATGAAATTCCTACAAGATTCCTTTAGACCAAAGAAGGCCTAAACCTAAAAAACAAAAATGCAACTTGGAAACAGTTCTTTTAAATGACTGGCTCATGTAAAGATTCTATTGTTTCTCAAGAAATAATGTAAAGATTATATTTCAACGGGTTTTAAAAATGTAAAGATTTTAATTTTGACGGGTTTTGTGAAGCTTCTGGATTTTTTTTTCTGTGTTTGTTTATTCGGTTAATGCTCGCGGTCTATCTGGTTATTTTGGTTCATTTTCGTATATAAATGTTTCTAAGCATTTTTAAAATTGTATTTTTAAAATTTTGTGGACTTTTTAAATTTGCAGTATTTTTCCAAAATAGTGGAAATTTTAAGAAAAAAATATGGACCAATTTTTAATTCATGAGAACTTTTAGAATTTATGAATATTTTTTAAATTCATGAACTTCTTTTACTTCCCCTATTTTTCCAAAAACTAACACAAAAACTGATATCTGCTCCCTTCGTAAACTTTAAGAAGACGTTTTAGGTCACTAAGTAGAGGTAGTATTTTTCTTCCTCGAGAAGCGCACAGGAACAAGCACAAAAAAGAGAAGTCGAGCGACCGGTTCGTGTAGCTATCGAGCGGTTTGGGCGCCGCACGGTACGAGCGGGAGCGCTCTGGTTGCTCTGTTAGATTTTCGCCAAAAGAGAAAGGTGTTCCAAATATGTTCATTTGCCAGGATATTGATTGGTTCCCTTCCATATATATATTTTTGCACATCAACAGTAAAAACTAATTTTATTATTTCTCGAAGGATTAGCATTAGAAAGGCGTGAGAAATATCGAAAACCCCTATGAAGACCACATCAAAACCCTCTTATATAAATCTTGCTCGTCCTCGAGCAACTAAGAAATAAAAAGAGCGAAAGGGAGTTTGACAAATGAGTACAAGGGGTTTACCGGCTCATGAAGATATAATATATCGATTCTCACAAATCTTGCAGTCTTAATTAAGAAAAGATTTGCATTTGAATGATTGCACCTAATCTCACTGCATAGCCATAGATGGTCTAGTAGTAGTTCAAGTTCACAAGTTAAACATTTTGTAGTTAACTAGGTGTGGAGCAAACGAGAAATTATTCTCTCAAGAGAATGGATTTGCATTTTGGAGCTTTTCGAAACATAACATGGCCATGGGTTTTGGGGAGAACAAAACATGTTACTCAAGTATCACATTAACATTCACTTGTACTGCTTTTAATCATACCTCTCAAATTCTTCCTTCAATCATTGTCCGCTGCAACTTCTACTTCTGGTGACGGGATTATGCCAAACAAATGATACATGCAAACGATGGGTTTTCGTTGCCACTTCCAAAGTTAACAGACTCTCATAGCCGAAATCCGAGCTGAAACTCTAGTGGATCGTTCATTTGCGAGCGGAGAGCTCAACATAACTCAAGAGAGATGATGAAGTAACAGTTACGCGCGTAAAGTAGCATATAGCGACAAGGCCATGGAACTGACAAGAAGCTGAAGTGCCTTCTATTGTAAAGCAGTCTTTTGGCATAATCGCAATCACTTCAAATTTTCATTCCTCTAG